CGCGTCAATCTCATCCGTCACCGGGCAGGATTTCGAGGCTCGTTCCGACCGATATCCCTCGCGTGTTCGATCGTGGCCCGACTCTTCGACGCGTCCGACACCTCGAAGTCGAGTCGAGGCGTGATCGACGACGACGACAGCGTGATCGTGGATTTCCTTTCCTCTTTCCCGAGAAAAGGGAAAAAAGGGAGGGAGGAGGCGCCAAGTTCGGGCCGAGATCGACGCTTTGAGAATCTCTTCCTGAGATCGGTTTCGCGACACTCGTAGAGAACGAGGAGAAAGAGGATGGACGGAATTTATAGGGGGAGAGGAGAGGAGGGTAAGTAAGCAACGCAAGGGGTGTGGAGAACGCGGGGAAAGAAGATTGGAGGTGAAGGGGAGGAAGGATCTTACGACCCTTCTGAAAGAACGACGCGGGGACGGATAAGATTCCCGCTTAACTTCGCATTCAAATCTCTTGCTCTGGCTAGAGATGCCGTATGTGCGCACTTTCCCTCGTTCTTCTTCGAAGCGTCACCGTTTGTATAATAACAACGATACGATATTCCCACCATCGAGTCGTACGAGCCAAGTCCTCTTCCCTAACTCCTCTTCGACGAATCGATGTAGCGAGCATCGAATCCTCCTTGAAGAAGGAGGAGAAGAAGGAGGAGGAGGAGGAGGAGGAGGGAATCGCGAGAAAGGATTATCCCGAATTAAAGGAAATTATTATTCGTCGTAATCACCAATGGACGAGGTCCACTCCGCAAGAGTCGCACTCACGCACGTCTGACCATGTCTCACCAAACGTAGCAACCGACGGACTATATCGACAACGACACACACTATACTTCACCGCAACGAAATCTCACTCCGATCCAACCTTCCAAATCTTCTCCGCGACGCGAGAAAAGTCCCTCGATCTTCTCGATCATCGTTCACGCGCTACTACTGCTGCTATTACTCGATTCACCATAAAAAAAAAAAAAAAAAAAACCAACAACCGATTCACCAGCAAAGTCCCGATCGGAGTCGTCGACGATCTTGGGCGACGAAAATCGACGCAAATCGGGATCGATGTCGATTTCGGGAGGAGCGAACCGTGCGTCTCCTTTCCTTTCCTTTCCTTTCGAAGGGGAACCGAAGCGTTGGAACGAAGAATCGAAGGAATCCTCGCGGAAGGTTGGCGTGTTTTGGTAGTAGTCGCGGTCGTAGTCTCTCCTCGGAACACCCGTCGGGGCCACTAACTATAATTTCGGCGGTTCGTGTGAGGCAACAGCCGTTGACGCACTGGTCCATGCCAACACACGCAGCATCCCTTTCCCCTTTCCTGGTTCCTCTCACACCCCGTGAGCGACCCCACTCCTTCCGCGAGCGGTCGCCCGTCTCCGTCCGTCCCACGACCCTCCGCTCTCCTCTCCCTCTCGCTCTCACCCTCTGCCTCTTTTCGTCTCTCGTTCTCTTTCTCTTCCGTTCCTCTTTATCGCTTTATCTCCCACCGGACCCCTAACCCTCTCTCTCTCTCTCTCCCTTCCTCTCAACCTCCGCTCCATCTTTCTCCTTCTCCCCCCTATCTTTCTCCGCGCTTCTCGCTCTCCCCAGCCTCTCATTCCTCCCCCAGGTTTCGACCCTTTTGCGGTGTGGCTCGCGTGCGTCTGACGGACCGACGGCTCGCGGCGGGGCGGAGCGGAACCGAGCCTCTCTCGATCGATCGATCGATCGCTCGCTCGCTCGCTCGCCACCGATTCACCGCCGCCCACTTTTTTTTCTTTCGCTTTGCGCCCAAATTCGCGCGACCGTCGTCTCGCCTCGTAACGAGCGCCGTTGCGTTTAATTAGTCGAAAGTTAATGAGGAGACGGGCCGAAGCGTCATCGTCATTGTTCCTCCTCCAGTGTTTGCCAGAGTTCCCTCTCCTCCCTGCATCGTTTATCCGCCGATACGAGGTCGAGGGCCAGCGATTTAATATCGAGAATTCGGCCGACACTCGAGCCGGATTAGCGGGATCGTTGGTGTTTTTCGACTCGAACCACCCTCGTCGAGTGGTTTCGCGGTTTTGGGACGCTGTTACTCCCCTCCTCCTGTTTCTCGTTGCTGTTCGTGGAAGAAGAAAAAAATAGAATTTGCAAAGTTGCAAAGTCCGTCCGAGAAATATATAAATTCGAAATTGATTCGATTCTTTCTTTCTTTTCTTTTCGAGGAGGAACAATAGATTCGAAGTTGGGCCGCGAATGGAGAAGAGCGAATTTTAAACGAAACGACGACGAAGAAGTATCGAAGATCGAGGAACGCGAGCAAGTATCGATCTTGGGAGAGATCCGCACGCGTCATTGTACGTGTTTGCCTGGCGGCAAGTCCGCGACCGGCTGGCTATCGTCAGGATATATTCGCACAGGAAATGGGTAGTTCCATTGTTTGCACGTTCGTACAAACAGTGCAGCTGCGAGGATGCGCCGGCCTGGCGGTTCTCTCTGTTTGATTTTCGAAAGTGAAGCTCCATTGTAGCGTACGTCGGTCCGGTGTATACCGACTCGTCGTGTCTGCCGTTTTCGATCGACTGGCCGAAGAATCGAGAGAACACTTCCAAGGAGGCGTTGCCCGTTACGCGTCTGCATCGCCCACCGATTTTTCGTCCCGTTCTTCGTAAACGGATACGCAACAATTTATTATTACATATTTTCTTAGAAAATTCTTCGTTCAACTTTGTCCCTCGATTATGATATTTTCGATGAAATCATCGCGACTTCGTAATTTCGATCAATTTTTCTCTCAAATTCCAGATAAATGTTCGTCCTTCGTCCCAATTTTCATTATCGTCCGCTCTTTCCTCAAATTCTTCGAGAACGTCGCGAGGAAAACTTGTAGTAACGATTTAAAAAAAGAATCCTTCCTTCGAGTTCACTGGGTTCACGAGGCGACAAACTTTATACATCGTCGCGAAATATACTACTCTTCAAATTCTTATCCCCTCTCCGCGAAGAGGGGAAAAATTCGGGTCGGGGAAAAACGTTTATCGGGATCGAAGGAAATTTTCGATCGAGAATGGAGAAACGGGGCGGAGAGAGGCGCGTTTGGAGGCGCATTAGGGTGACGGGGATGGAACGGAAAGGATGGAAGCGTGGCCCTGGCGCCACGGTACCCCAACCGGTCTGTCGCTTATTTGAATAACAGCA